AGATTTATCTAGATTAGTGCTTCTCAAACTTGAAAGTGCAACAGTGGACTTAGCTTAAAATACAAATTTCTGCTTGCCATATTCCCAGAGTTGCTGAGTGAATAGGTCTAAGGTACAGCCCAAGCGGTAGGATTTTTACAAAGTTCTGGATCTGGGATCCATGTCTGGAGAACCCCTGATGTAGGCAGTTCTTAACTCATACTAGAAACAAGCTTCCTATTTCATTAACTTTGTCCTTCTGAGGACTATACACCATATAATAGTATTTATAATAGTAATAGCAGTGGCTAACATTAATCAAATGTTATTTTGCTATTTTCCAGGTTTTACTCTAGAAATATGGGTTCTTTTATTTAATGTCCAGGGTTGTGGACATTAGAGGAGAGAGAGACAGAGGCAGAGTCAGAGACAGAGACAGAGACTGAGACAGACAGACAGAGAGGGAGAAAACAAGAGAGAGAGTTTTGAGGCCAAGTACTAGCCCAAGAATGCAAATATCCAAAGTCAGACTCCCCATAGTGTTAGGTAGGTAAGCAAGAAAAGAGATGGAAAAGGAAGAGAGGAAAGACAAGAAATATGCTGTTCCCAAGAGTACACTCAAGATAGTTTTGTAGTAACGTCAGTAAGGAGTGATTCCTGTCTTTCAAATCATGTTCTCTTTGGCATTTGCCTTCACTAATAGGTGCTATATGTAGAGAATAAGGTAACTATGAGTTTAGGTGTGAGTGTGTGTGTGTGTGTGTGTGTACTCTTCTTGCTTCATCAATTCCTAGTCATCTGATGCATTAATTAACATCTGTAAAACAGAGATGATGATCAGTGATGGTGATGATAAAATGGTAGATTCATCTGTGGCCACAGACTTCCCCACTGTGGTACTTAAGCTTGATTGTCACCTTGGCCAGCTTGTGTACTGCCCAAGGTAGTAGTAAAGTGCATTTCTGGGTGTGTATGTGTGGGTCATGGAGGTGTGACTTTGAGGTCTGCATCTGTTTCCTTAGCCTTTCCTTTCTGCTGCTGTTCCCCTTCTTTGCTTCCCTGTTGCCCTGGGTTGAGCAGCTCTCCTCTGCCAGGCCCTTCTACCATGCCATTTCTGTCGTGGAGCCAGATTACTGTGGACTGAACCCTCTGAAACTGTGAGCCAAAATAAGTGTTTACTCCTTCATGTTGCGGGTGTTGGGTATTTTGCCCCAGCAGTAGGAAAGTGACTAGTATATTCACCCAACATTTATGCCCATGTCAATGTTTTTTGGAAGAGTTTTGTGACATTTCTACCAATTTCCAACTTGAACTTATTATGGGTCTAGGACACTATGATCACTCCATAGGTGCTAATTAATGGCAATGTCATATCATTTCCAAACATAAAATTTTACCATTTCAGTTGTTATTCTTTCTTTTTTAGACTTATGCATTAGCTCATTATCTGTTACTATAATGAAACACTAAGTTTATTTAGCTCACAGTTCTGGAAGTTCAAAGGGCATGCTGCCAACATTAGTGTTAAGTCAGCTTTATTTAGGACTTCATTGTGGATGGTACCACAATGGCAGGAAGATGGGACAGAGGGACAGGCCATATTACCAGATAGGCAGTCTGAATCCTAGGGAGCAGTGGGGGCCTATTCTTTTATAACAATATTCTGGCAGGAACTACTCAGAGGTCCCATTAGACCTACCTAATCCCTTATAAAGCTGCACACACCCCATGACCTCCTAGTAGGCTCTACCTCTTAAAGATCTACCATTTCCCACCATTACCACACTGAAGACCAACTTCCAACACATGAATCTTTAGGGGTTCAAAAAGCATGCTTCAAAAAGCACGACAGATAATTTAATAATGTCACTAATTAAAATATCAAATAAAAACTAATAACCATTTCTCTGCTTTCCCCCATTCCATTCCATTCCATTCCATTCCACTCCACTCCACTCCACTCCACTCCACTCCACTCCACTCCACTCCATTCCATTCCACTCTATTCCATTCCATTCCATTCCATTCCATTCCATTCCATTCCATTCCATTCCATTCCATTCTATTCCATTCCCTCTGTTTAACTCCATTTGATTCCATTCAAGTCCATTCCATTTAACTCCGTGTAATTTCATTCCCATCAATTTCATTCCATTCCACTCTGCTCCATTCATGCCATTCTAGCTCATTCCATGGCATTTCACTCCATGCCATGCTATTCCATTCCATTCACTGCCCTCACTTCTGTTCCATTTGTTCCTTTCCACTTTGTCCCTTGCTTTTTATTGTCATAAGATTTTATTAGGTACCAAGCCCTATGTTCAAATGTTCAAAATGCAAACATCTTTCTTATGTGATACAGTCCTTAACCTGCAAAACTCAATCAGATTTTTCCTGTGTTCACCCAATAACAGATCACTCCAATCCACAGCTCACAGCTCATTTTGGTTAGTGAATTCAATATCCTCACAAACCAGATGCCCTGTGATAATGAAAACAGACATGCAGAGACTTTTTTGGGGGGCACAATTTCAAGAACTTAAATTAAATAATTTTTTTTTTTTATACTTTTCTAGGTGCCTTCTGTCAAGGAAGACTATCTTTTGAAATTGTTTTCAAAGGATGGACATTTTATATCCCAAGTGGCTCATTTTTATATTTCACAGTATCTAGCTACAGCTGTTTATAAATGACTGTTATAAAGTAAATGCTCTGATTTAGCAAAGATGTCTACACTAAGCTTTAGAGACACAGAAATCTATGGTTGTGGAAACTGTCTTTGGAAAGATCACAGCTTTTACATACTTGCTTCTCAGGACATAGTCAACATTTTGCCTGAGCTTTGAAAAAAAAAAAAGCTGAAACATGAGATAGTTGGCTGCATAGTCATCCTGACGTCCCATCTGGAGCTCCTACATACCAACGAGGATTTCATTCTAGGAAAAGACCTTTAAAAATCACCAGAGTGACTGATGTGATCCAAGGCTGAAAACTCATCTCAGGGCTGGATCATGTCAATTCAGTACAGTGCTGGATTGGCTCAACTGGTGGTGTGCCTGAAACAGAGCTCTGTAACTGGTTGTCTGGGACATATTCAGTGGAAACCAGTCAACTCTTAGAGGTGTCTCACCATGGTCAAGCCAGGGCAAAATACTTTTTGCTGAAATATACCCTCATAGTGTTCAGGCAGATATGATTTTATGATTGTTTTTATTTAATATATATCTCAATGAAGACTGTTATAAACTAATGTTAGAATGGAAATTCTCATTGAGGCACAATCAACCAAAATAAGCAGATGCTCCACCAACAGGCATTCATTTCCAAAAGTGGTGGATCTCACTGGGGTGGCTGAAGGGGTTCAGAAGCTGGAGAATTAGCGGGAGCATAGTGCCAGTTCATGACAGCATCCTTAAGTCATGGCTCTTCTGCTCCCATTTTCCAAGCCCAGACAGATCTGAAACCATAATTATTAAGCTCTGAGTAGTGGGTGGAAACCTAGGTGGTGAGTGAGAAGCTTTGGGCATATTCTCCTTTCTTTACTTTAAGCCCAAACTGGGTGGAGTGGTATGAGAGGAGAAACTAACTCTTACATCAAATTTAAAGTCTGAGTTGCTGATGTGGACCATTTTGCTAATGGATAGAGGTTGAGTGCTGAGTTTAAAGCCATATAAAGAGTTTCCAGAAAAGTAATGAGACCTTCCTAACTTCTATTCATGGGCAAAGAAAGAAATAGGTCACACAGAGAGGGAGGCTTTATGGTAAAAGAAAAGTGGAGGTAAAAATAAAGTCTCATGAGTTGTTCTGTACACTGGACATTTGTTTTGTGATCACTAATGAATTATGTGCTCACTAGCTGGGGTCCTCATGTGTGATTAGCTTCTACACAGTGTAAAAGATGTCAAAGGACCAAATGGATATTATGTTATTGAATACGGTTGGGTCTTTATTTTCTTTAAATTATTTGGGTTGCGTATTAGGAAATAGCTAAACATTGCTATTTGAATGTTCATGCAGTCAATTTAATTCTGTCTTCTATACAGAGCAGGAATTTTTTAATACTACAGTTTTTACAACCCTCCCTTCACCATATAAAATTGATGGATGGGTAAAGGATGAGTGGACTAGACAGGGCAAATGAATTTTGTTATACACTCAAATAATCTTTGCTTTATTATATTACTGAACTTATCCAAGGGGTCTTTTTTTTCTAAGTAAAATTGCTTTCACCTGAAGCATCCATAAAATACTTGAATAATTTTTGAATATGGAAATCTAAATGTTACTTTCTGTTCTTTGTTTTGGTGGTGGGAATTAGACCCAGAGTTGGCATATGCTAAGCACGTACTGTGCCACTGAAATATACCCCACTCCCCAAATGGGAACTTCTTGAATTTGCTATAATTACACTTCTGTTGTCTAAGTGGTGACCAAAAACTCTGAGGTGAAAGCAAAACCAAAGAGATGAGTACTCAAAACAGAAACGCTATGTGAGTGGCCTCCGACCACATCATAACCGCTTCTTAGTCATTTGACTGATGTCACCTTGTGGATTAAAGATCACAGGGAAGTCATGCACAGATCATGCAGGTGTAGAAATGCACTTGGCTTTTGCTGATCTTTGTGCTTTCAAATCAAGTATAGTGATTCCTGAATCCACTATTGATTTACAACTCTTTGCCCTCCCTTAGAATGTAAATAATTACGACACACATGCAAGATGATTTGCAAGGTACTGATTTCAATTCATATTTCCCGGTTTTAGGCAATGTGTAAGACCACCATCCTTAACTTTGGCTCAAAAATACAGTAAACTCATAGTTGTACAGTCAGTTCAGTCCCGTCATGATGGTCTAATTACATTGACCTTATAAAGATGTAGAAATTTCAAGAGATTTTCATGTGCAAAATGCATTCATGTACAATTTGTACGTAGGATACAGAGTGCCTGCTCCCCCTCTGTAGTAGTGGCATTTTAGCAAAGCAAATTTTTGCAAGCAGTAAGATTTCTGATCACTTACCTCTTCAGTGGTGCTGGAGAAGGGCTGAGTAGACAGTGGAACCCATGACGTGTCTGCGATTTCAGTCATGCGCAGATTAGGGTGATTCCTCTGGCTGCTGTTTTGGGTGTAGTTTTCCGTAGTATTCCTGATGAAGGCCTCCGTGGTGTTCCTAATAAGGTTTTCTGGGCTATACGGAACTGTATTAAATGTAGTGGGGATCTGAGGAGGAGTTGTGTTTCTAGTGCTCCGCACTAAAACTTCTGCTCCCAGGCGAGCTGAGGTAGAGGGAGGACAGTTGAAAAAATTATTTGCGTATTTTATGGATGTTTCACGTGAAAGCAATTTTACTTAGAAAAAAAAAGACCCCTTGGATAAGTTCAGTAATATAATAAAGCAAAGATTATTTGAGTGTATAACAAAATTCATTTGCCCTGTCTAGTCCACTCATCCTTTACCCATTCATCAATTTTATATGGTGAAGGGAGGGTTGTAAAACTGTAGTATTAAAAAATTCCTGCTCTGTGTCAAAGACAGAATTAAATTGACTGCATGAACACCTAGGGGACTGCTGAGATCATGGGGCATGGGAATTTATCTCCAAAATCCTATGCAAATCTCTGAGTATATGACATATACATCATTTCTCTATGGCATACCATTGCAGCTTTCATCAACTCCTCGAAGGAGTATTACACAAAGTAGCAGGTTGGGAATCACTATTTGTGACCTCCCCAACTTCATTTTAAAGATTAATAATTCCTTGGAGAATAATAACATTTATATCTTTAACCATTGCACAGAGGCTTTACAATATAATTTTTGTTTTTAACTTCTTTTAACTGACACATTAAAACATAAAGTTGTATGTCTTAGTAGGGTACCCATGATGTTTCAATACTTGTATACATTATATAATATATAAATCAGGTTAAACATTTATCTCCTCAAACACTTATCATTTCTTTATGGTGAAAACACTTAGAATCTTTTCTTCTAGCTTTTTGAGATGTAGACAGTACATCATTGTATCTATAGTTACCCAACTGTGCAAGAAAACAGCGGAACGTATTTCTGTCCAACTGTAATTTAATATGTATTAGAAACCACTTTTAATTCTAGCTGTTTTCATCCCAAATCATGAGCATGCTATATTTTCTAAGCTACTTACCTTTTAGAAGAATAGTGAATTAATTTTGAATATGTGATTGGTGGGATTAATTTATAACTTTGCTCTACAAGAGTGAATTTTCCATAATGAAAAAAATATTGGTTCTGAAGTAGGTGCACATGGCTATGTTTAACAATGTGCTCTCCATCTGTGAGGGTCCTTGTTACATTCCAATTTCAGTTGTCGGATTCAGCCTTTCTAACAAGTTTTATGGTCATGGTGGTCTTTATATCACCCTTTGTGTGGCAAAACTCTAGAAAATGGTTATATAATATAAAGCATTGGAAAGTTCTGGAAATTATGGCTCAAGGTGGTATGTTTAAAAGTCTCCATTAACTCCATAGATGGTGAGTTTTCAGGGATATAAAACCCCACAAAATCTTATTGAAGCGGGTAACTATAACTTTGAAGAGTTTGACTGAAGACTGTTAAAGATTTTACTTTTCACTACTCCTTTACTGCTTGATGCAGTCAATCAACTATTTATTAAGAACTACTATGTGCCAAGTGGAAGTCTCCTAAAGAAGAAATGAATCATCACTCTTTCCTTGTCCTACTCTGTCCTACTGACACCTCTTTTGAGCCTCATTCCTTTTCAACGTCATTTTAATATATGTCACATGGCAATTTATGTAAGTAAGAGGAGGATAAGGCAAAAAGAGGATCATGAAAGAAATACCACTTTTACAGTTTAGCAAGATGTAGCACTGGGCATGGTGGCGCAAGCCTGTAATCCCAGCACTTGAGAGGCTGAGGCAGGAGGATCACCGCGAGTTCAAGACCAGTCTGGGCTACAAAGTGAGCTCAAGGCCAGCCTGAACTGCATAGTGAGACCCTGACTCAAAAAGACAAAAAAAGAAAAACATAAGTAGCAGCAATCCTCCTAAAAGTTAATAATATAATCCTGGCTATTAAGTGTCTTTCCCTTGAGATGTAGAGTTGTGCAAAGTACCTTGGGCATAGAGTTGACAGATTTAGCAAATAAGAATATGTGCTACCCATATTGCAGATGAGCAATGAATATTTTTAGTTTAAATCAATATATGTAATATGTTCCAAATAAACAATAATATAAAGTTTATACTACATATTAAATATTATAAGTATACTTATACTAAAAATTACCTATTCATCTGAAATTCAAAAATAACTGAGCATTATTATCTGGCAACTCTGTATATCCACTAGGTTTACACTTTGACTTCTGGTCATTCTCTTTAGCACCTGTTTTTATCTTTTCAAATCTTTTCACTATCACGCATTTTTGCCGGAGTTGAACCCTTCTGACTTAAATTAGATTTATCCTTGAAGTGTTTTCTGCATGACAAACTCAACCATATTATTAGATTCCTTTAGAAAAAACTTCAAAAAATCATCTTAGTTTTGCAATCTTAAGTTAGGTGCTTAAATGTTCTCTTAAGTAGATGTGTCTACTGTAGGAAAGCAAAACTTTATCTATATGGAAATTAGAATTTTGGTGATTTCGAGTCTTGGCCAGTGTCAACCCTCTGAGTTGATTAATATGTATGAAAATTTTAGCTTTCAGATTCTTTACAAATATTTTTAATGCAATTAGGACAAAAAACAAGCTTCTGAATACCTCACATATAATTATATTTCTTAGTATGTCAGTGTATGCTTACTCTTCTTAATTAAGGATTAGAAGATAAATTTTTATCTTAAGAACTTTTATTTAATTAGTCAACTTACATAACCAATTAGATGGATGAAACTGGTTAAAACAAAATAGATAAATGATTAAAACACTGTTGAAATCTCTTCCCCATATAACATAGTTTATGACTATCATTGCATGTAGCTGTTGACTACCCCTCTGTCTTCTCTAATTGTAGTTAATCTTCTACATATAATTTTAGAACACCTCAAACTAAACAGGTCCATTTTTCATTTTAGGCTACCTACCTTTTTTTTTTTTTTTTTCAAAAGAAAGAAACTATAAAATTTTCAGGTCCTATATCACTTCATTTTGTGTTTGTGTTTTTAACTGTGCTATTTATTTGTTCTTTTATTTTGTTTTCTGAGCCTAGGTCTTGCTATGTAGTTCAGGCCAGCCTTGAATTCACTATGTAGTCCATAAATATGCTATTTAAGAAGCAAGAAAAAATTTTAGCTTTAATGTTCAACTTCTACATTTTGTGAATTTTAAAGCTGGAGTTTGTTGCCATGGCCCTACCTTTATTTCTAACTGTGATACGGAAGATTTGGTCTGGGATCCAGAACCTGCATTTCTAACAAGTTTCCCAGGTGATTCTAAGTAGCCATATATGTAACAGGAGCCAAATGGAATCCTGATAATTTCTCATGTGGTTATTGAAAGATTATAAAGTAGACGGGAAAAAAAGAATATCCATTATAAAAATACAAAGGCTACCAAGATAAAAATTTTTTTCTGTCTCCTAAACTCTTCATTTAAGTAGGTGCAAAGAATTATACTAAAAATAGATCTTTGGGTGTTTTGATGTCTATGAATTCATCTGATGTTCTTTTAAAGTGTATGTATATTTAATACCTCATGAAAGAGCAAGATGTTTTAACAAACACAAGGAAAAGTTCTTATACAATGGAACAATGTGTTAAAGCTATTTTTAAAGGCTTTATTGTACCATTTCTACTATATTGTTTCTACTTTATAACACAGTTCCTTCTAAAACACAATTCTAGGACAAAGAGCTCTTGGAACAGAGTAGTATCACCTATAGAATGACTTGCAATGATTGCATCATATCAAGACCATCTTTGGAATACATTTTAAAAAAAGCAATGTATATTTCAGTTTATAATTAATTGATCTATGATTGACTTGGATAAAATAATTAATAGAAATGGGATTTTGTATAAGATAATAAAGACAATACATAATTTCTCTTTTTAAAATGGTATAAATAACTTCTAAGTGCAATAACTGAAAACATAATAACTGAATTAAACATATTTTGAAGATGGGAAATTTTAACTATGTTCACACTTTCTTTTTTTGGCACATTTTGTTCTGTAGGAAGATAATATAATATAGCTCTTTTGAGGGGGCACTAGTGATTGAACTCAGGGTCTTCCCACTTAGCTACATTCCCACACTCCCCATTTCCCTTTATTTTTCTTTTATGTTGAGATAGAGTCTTGCTAAGTCATTAAATTGCCCAGGCTGAGTTTAAATTTAAGCTCCACCTGCCTCAGCCTCCACATTACTGGAATTATAGGAGTGTACCCCCGCACCTGGCTGAATGTACCTTCTGAAAATGAGTAAATCATCTGGAAGATAACAAATTAAACAGAAGACACTTTAGAAAAAGGATGATAAACATACACACACATGCACATGTATAATACACACACTTTCAACAATACTGAGCTCTGGTAAAGGTAAAGTGAAAGTGATGAGAATTATAGTAGATATTATTGGAAATGATAAAAGTAAGTTTTCAGAACATGTAGTCAGTTAAATAAAGAGTAACTTGAAATACACACCTAGATTTAAAATACTCGAGATTAGAAATGAAGTAAAATTAACAAATGGATATTGATACCAAGACACAGTATAATAAAACACCCAAGCACAGCATAATGAATAATCTAGATTAAAAAAGGAAGACTGACAAAATCAAAGAAACACTTCAGTAACCAATTATTGCCAGCTCTTGTGCTGAAAGTAGGGCCATCTTATGAAGATGTCTGTGCCTTAGCCTCATGTCCACATTTCCTTCTAGAAAGAAGGGCAGATGGTTGGGGAGAGGCAAGCAAACCGAGTGGAGGAGGAGGCGTGGCTCAGGCGTTTAGGGACATCAGGCTGTGTGGGAGACGCTGAGCCAGAAGCTGCTTCTCGGGGTCAGGGGAAGGTACCGGGAAGCGGGTAACTAACTTGGCAGGCCCAGGGCTGACCTACCATTAGGCATCATAGGTGCAGTGCATGGGATCACCTTTAAAGACTACTCAATGATTTAATTCTTTAAAAATAAAAAAATGAAACTTTACCATAGAAGAGAATGTTTTAATTTTTTCCCCTTTCAGGAGAAACAGAATTTAGGGCCCATAAAAATCTGGTAAATTATTTTCATTTTTCTAATGGAGGAAAAGGCTCACAGAGGCAAA